ATAACACCATTCACTCATGCCTACAAATCTTACCTCTATGTCTTCTCCCCATCCCCCAATGTGAGATTCAAACTAATATTCACCATGAGTTATTAAAAGTTCTTTCATTCATTTCTCATTCAATTGGTCTAGAACTCTCGGTCTGAGTCTCGATCTCTTGATTATTTGCTCTTGGTGTAAATCGAATACATTTGTGAAGTCGTTTAAATATGTTGGATTTTAAATATATTGGATTTTAAACCGTCATACAATTTTTTTATCGATAGACTGTAATTGAAACCATAACTCTTATTTATTCAAATTGTATTATTATGTAAAAACCAAATGTGACTTATATCATCGTTAAATCTTCTCTAATAAAACCAGTGAAACTTCACAACCGTTAGAATTCACGACTCCCGCTACATTGCATGGATACACAACTAGTAATATAATATAGATATTTGACGAACTTGATTTATCTTGATAAGCTTTTTTATCTTATAGTTATTTTAGTCATTTAATTATTTCCATTAAATCTTATGTTATTACTAACTTTTATTGCTTAAACATTTAACATTAATTTGATAGAAATAAAAACAGGAATCTTAAAAAAATAAAATTAGATTTATCATATCATAACTTTAAATAAATATTATTAAAAAGCTACAAACAGAAGTTTACTAGAAAAAAAGCTTAAAAGTTTTTTGTAGTTCAGAATCAGAAAATTCTTTTCATCAAAAGCATTTAAGTTCAAATTTAATATGAAATGAATTCATATTGAGTATTAATTTAATAATAAAACAAGATTATTTTTTAGTATTAAATTTAGATATTAACATATCAAATTGATGCAAATTTATATCAAAAAATTGATTTAATAAATCAGACGAATGAAATCTTCAATCACATATCTAACGATGCATCTATGACAAAATCTTGGGCAATTTATAAACCTACAAATATATATATACATATATATATATATATATATGAGCATATAAGCTCTAGAAAATCTTGGGCAATTTATATAGGATATAAGACGATTATTGGGTTGTGTTTAAGTTTTGACAAAATCTTGGGCAATTTATAAACCTATATATATATATATATATATATATATATGTATGTATGTATGTATATGAGCATCTAAATTGTAGAAAATCTTGGGGAATTTATATAGCATATAAGACGATTATTGGGTTGTGTTTAAGTTTTGACAAAATGCAAAAAGTTGAAACCTTTTTGCTTTACATTTTGTTAACCAGAACAGAAGGAGGAAATAAAGTGCAAGGCGTTGGGAAGAACACTGGTGATGTGTGAAGAGAGAATTCATAGGAGAAGAAAGACAGAGAAGAGAAGTAAGAGGGAGCATCTGGTGGAAGACGCAATTTTTGGTATTCTACTGGGGATGATGTTGACACTCTCCCTCCCCCCCACTGTTGTTTTCTTTTGTTTTTAGTTTCGGTTACTCTTCCAAGAAAGGGAAGCTTCTTAAGGAACTCCTTCAGGGTGACAGTCTTTGTCTAGGATTTATTTATGCATGACACATCATTTTACATCATTATGGTGCATTTTTCTCTTTATGCATCCCCCTCCGTACACCTCTCTTTTCATTTCATTTCATTTCATTTCAACTCTATTTCCACCTTCACACATAACCCATATCATCCACTTTCTCTCCATCAATGTTACCATTTCATTAGGGTTTCCAAAGGTTGGTGGTGTCTTGCACATGTTTCCTTGCTGTGATTAAATGACTTCGGTTGATTAAACGGTTTAGGGTTTTCGGTCGTGGCCCTACGATGATCTGTGACCGATCCAAATGGTTTTGCTTTGTCGTTTGATTCCTTCCCATGTGTTTGTCTTGAAGCTTATTGTCGAAAAAAGGGATTTTTTTTTTCGAAATATGAAAGAGCCTTAGAAGGTTAATTGTTTGATCTCAATTCATTAAATGACAATCAACTGGCAGATGATGATTACAACAAGAGACCCATATTCAATATTCAAGAAAGTCAAAGGTTTGACCTGTTAAGTAAGGGGTAGAACTTGGATTATAAATACCAAATTTCATATAACATTTTACAAGAATTTCATGTACAATCCAAGCAAAAAATCAAATACAAAAGGAGTCAACAAGAGTACCAAGTCAGACAAAACACCAACATTATTATGTTTAGCCCTATAAGAAGACCAAACCTTGTTGACTTGTTGTCAAAATAACCCTAGTCACCAAAAGAAATCACCAAATTGCCCTACCACTATAATGAACACCAAGCTATATATCTGTAGCTACATTCATGAAACCCTGTATATATATATATATATATCATAGCAGATGTGTACTTTTTAGCTTATTTATTTGTGCAATAACTTATATCACTTCAAAATTGTTCCTAACTTGTACATCACTGATGAGTTTGAAGCAACTCATTGTGTAAATTCATATATGAATTGCATGCATGTCACCAGATGATCAACACAAGTAATTAATTCTAGGTGCTATATACCTATCATTGCATATATGGTAACAACTTCTTTATAAAGTAACTTGGCTTGGTACACTTGGAACTTGATTCATTAAGGAAACTTTATTGAGTGCTTTTCTATATAAGGCCCGTAAAAGGTCTAGCAAACGGGTGCCTACTGCCTACGGCACTCGTACACTCCCGCTACCAAGCGAAAAACGATGGAAAAAGTTAAATCTTGAAACATTTTTGGGGTACAATAGTAATACTTTTGTGCAATTTATCAACTTTTTACTTTACAACAAGTCTTAATTAATTTGATCAGCAGAAGTATATATAGAGGTAAAGGTACTGCAGGGGGGGGGGGGGGGGGGGGGTTGTTCAATTAGCACATGCACATAGGGTTCATTTAACCTCACTGCAAATGAATTATGGGCAAATATTGTATAGGTAGATGAACCATTAACCATGCCATCTTTCCACTTATTGTTGTTTTCTGGTAACCAATATATATGTGTTATGATTTTTTGTCCAATTAGTCCATTTGTATCCCTAGAAAATTCTCTTATATATGATTCGTGCAAAGTATAAACCTTTTGACTGTGGGTGCGACCAACCACGAGTAAACTTTAACGTACGTTCTTGTTTTACTTCTCGATAGGCAACATGAGGGCCGTTGGAAAACCATTCATTTCCATAATTCATCGCTCGTTCATGAGGTTTGCTAAGGTTCACTCTAGTCCGTCCATTATGGGTTGTAGATGCATGTTGGCATTTTGCATGAACGGATTAAACCTTAATTAATTCGAGTTGATTAACAAATGTCCTTCCGTGAAAATCGAAGTGTCTTTGATTTTTATTCGTTACCAATTAATAAAAATATAAACGTTAATTATTTTTCTTTTTGGTTTTTTTAACTCATTCAAATGGGCTATAAAAAGTGAGAACACGACTTATTTTCCTCAATCATCTTTTTATAATCATATACTTTGGGGGTAAAAGCACATGTTGTTGATGATAAAAGCATATTTGAAATCATTGAGACGATTAAAGTATAATGATTGTGTGGTAAATTTGAAATATAAATAGTATGACTTTTCAAAATTAAAAGAAATATAAGTCAACTTTTAACATCATACTTATAGCTTTAATTAATTACTAGAAGGATAGCGAAATGCAACAAGATATATTGCGATTTTAATTTTTTTTTTATTTTTTTGGTCTCTATCGATATTATAATATGGATTTATGTGGTTTGAACAAACAATAATGTTTTTTTAAATATAAATTTGAAGGTATCATAAAAATTAAAAAAACATATATAAAAGTTTTTATTTTTTTGTGTAATTTTTTTAATTATAATTTAATTTAGGTTTAACGCCGAAGTAATTTGTTTTTTGTTTAATAATATTTTTTTTATAAATATAATAACTAAGTATTCTGTTAGAAGAATTATTTTAATTATATTTTAGATATATTTTAAATAAGAATTTTATTCTATATTTGATTATATTTATCTGCAATTAGTTGTACGAATTCAAATATGAAGCTTAATAAGTTGTATTTATGCACAATTTATTTGTAATATTGAATTTTAAATAATATGCATCAATAAACAGTATTTCATGTATAAAAATTGATTTTTAACAGTTTTGTCAAATATTTTATAATATAGTATAGATGATTGATGTTTTCTATTAGAAAGATAAAACAAAAAACTAAAAGACGGGTATATTACTATATATTTGCAAGAACAACTGATTTACCAGATATTTTGAATAGACATTGTAACAAGAAAAGTGCTTTAACATAGTCTAAAATGCCCATTCTATGGTTTTTATAGATAACAATTAAAACATTTGTTAGTTCCTAAAAGTGTAACTACAAATCATTGCAAAACTCTATGAGTTGAAAACACAAGATAAATGTTAATGGAATGACATAAAATGAATGGAGTACTAAACAAAATAAGCGTTATGGCGAGTCCGATTACCGAGGCCCTAACATCATGCTTAATTAACACGATGTTTGTCGAATTTGGTAAGGAGGTTGGAGATGAAATCGATGGTTGATATATTATAAAGAAACAAGATTGTATGTTTGTCAAACACGGGTCAACCTACGGAAAAAAACTTTGTTTGATAAGTTAAAAGGTCGTTCTTGAAAATTGCTTCACATGACTTACTGTTTTTTCTTCACCTTTTTCTCGATTATGGCATTTATATTTTACCTTTTTACTCATTTTAGCTAATGTAGTTAGTTTATCAGTCAACAACAAACATATATGTATTAACGTAGTTAGTTTATCAGACAACGACAAACATAATTATCAACTAGTTTGCCAAACATAGCCGAATAAAATAATTCACTTGGTGAATCCCATTACACTTAGCAAGTAAACACACACACTGTGAATAATATGAAGAAGGTTCCAACAAAATAGAATCATAAGGGATGATATAGACTGATACTTAATTACAAAAAAATTGAAGCATCAATTCCTAATATGTTTTGAGTTAGATACTTGCATACTGATACTATTGAAGCATCTCATTTATCATAATCAAGAAACTTAAGTCAAATTTCACCTTATTCACACATCTCATATCCATAAGAAACGTGGTCAAATATCAACTTCCAACAGTCCAAGTATCAACCATCATTCCTAAAAGGCCAACAAACTTCTAAGATTCTACCACACCCTTAAGAAACATAACCTAATGATCATCACCCTTGGTGAGCTTAACGCCATAGCCATCCCACATATTCTCCGGATCACCCATCAGAAACCTATAGCTACCTGCATCATTCTGCTGATCATTTGATGCCATCAGTCGTTCATCGGCTTGGCGATAGCTTCCCACCTGATGATGAAAGATATGAGAAAGAGATTCGTTGTTATGGTGAGTGTATGAATTGGAGCTTCTTGTATTCTCTTTTCGCTTCTTGGTTCTCATTAGGAACTCATTTATGCTATCCCACTTGGTTTTGCATGATATACCGTTCCTGTTGTACCCCAAACAAGTCATTTTCGAGGCAATTTCCTCCCAGAGAAGCTCTTCCATGTACCCACCTTGCTCAAACCGTGTTTCCATGCTTGTTCGTAGTTGTATTAGTCGTGTAATCTCATTTTCGCCCCAACCGGTGAGATTGACAGTAGTGTCAATCTTCCCATTGTTGCGATCATTGTGATGATCGGGAGAAGATTTATGGTTTGATTCCTTCCCAGTTATTTTGTGCAAGGCCTCCATCAAAGCAGAATCTCGAGACTCCATCCATGCTCGTTCATTAGCCCAAAACTTGTGCTCTTTCTCGAACCTAGAAGCTTCTTCTTTCCTCCATTGTTCCTCTCTTAAAACCCTCTCCTGTTCCTTCTGCTCAATAGACTTCATCATCTTCTCCATCCACTCCTCTTGTTTCTCCATGATCTTCCTCATTTGTGCATCGATAAATTCCTTAATCTTAGTCTTCCAACTCCGTTTCCCAAGCCTTCTTTTGTTAATTGTCCTATCCGCACAGTCGCTGTTATCCATGAATGGAGGCATGGGTGCATTGGGATTGCTGTAGCCCGATGAAGAAGTATCGAAAGCAGAAGAATTGTTGGAGAGGCTAGGACTATCACACAGCCTGGAAGGGGGAGGTTGATGAAAGGCTTCTTGATAACTACTATTATTTGGGTGTGGATGAGTTTGGAAAGGACTAGTTTCAACATTAAGATTATGAGGATCTGGAAATGAAGCTGGGTTAGGGTTAGGATTTGGATTAATACTAGTGCTGGTTTCTCCATAGAGAGCTTCTAGTTGTCGAAAAAACCTGTAATGTTTCCCATCTTGCCTTCCAGCTTTCCCTTCCTTAGTCTTCTTGTAATACTTGTACAAGTTCTCAAACTTCTCTCTGCACTTCTTCCCACTTCTTTGATACCCATGTTCCTCAGACATTATCCTGAAAGAAAGAAAAATGGAAAATAAAAATAAAACTAAATCACTGGTTGATCAGAGAACTGATGACAATGAAATAGAAAGTGATAGTGATTTTTGCCAAGGAGTACAAGTTTCATGTTGTTTATTGGTCTGTGCATACTATTAACCCCAATTGGGGTCTTGATGACTACACAAAATAGAAATAGATAGGTGGGTTCTTGTAAGCCTTTTCTAGGCTGAGCTACTTCAGTTAACCGAAAGAAATGAAAAGACTGTCAAAAACCTGTAACAAAGCTTGGAGACTCATAATAGAAATTATCAAGCTCTTCACAAAACAAAAGGAAAAAAAAGGAGATTATGATGATGATGATGATGATTATGATGATGATGATTATGATGATGATGATGATGATGATGGTGATTATGAATTGAAAGGCTATTTTTCTCAAGGAAACAAATGCAGAAGTCTAAAGGGTGATCGATGGTTGGATACAAAAAGTAGCAAATAAAAAAGAAAAACAAGTAATAATGCTTCACGGGAGTGGTGGGTGTGAAGTTTCATACTTGCGGATTTTGATTGCTGAATTCTTACAGTTGGGTTATTCGATTTAGATTTATAAGTAGTGAAAACTCCATTTTTCACTGAACTAAAATTAAATTGTATCCCCAAATTCTTTTCTTAAGTAAAAAGCTGTTCACAAACCAATAGTCAAAATTTATAGAAGCAAGTCTTTGAGGGTCTGGAGTGAGCAAAAGAGAAGAAGAAGAAGAAGGTGATGATTAGGATTATGATGATGGTGATGGTGATGGTGATGATGAAGAACAAGAAAGAGGTACAGTCAGAAAATTATGAGAGAGAGACCTGGAAACTTCATCCCACAAAGGGCCTTTCTGATTAGCTTCTTTGAACTTAGAATCAAGCCTTGATCTGACCTCCAGAAGTGTTAGAGTTTCTTGCCTCGGCCACCTTCCATTTCCACCACCACATCCACCACCGCCAATTTCCATCTCCAAACCACCACCAAGTTCCATCTCTAAACCACCCCCGGCACTAAGACTAGCAGTGGTTGAGCCTGTACCAGTGGTGGAATCAGATCGAAACAGCATCCCACCAGCACCACCACCGCCACCTCCCAACATCACCATATCGTAGTGAAGATCATGAGGAGGCTGAGGCTGAGGTGGTGGCTGTGGGACGGCCGTGAAGATGGGCCTTCCGTTCATGTAGTGAGTCAGATCCGTGATCCCATACTGTTCCTCCATTTCCTTCTTGTTTCTTCCGAGTCTTTTCTTTCTTTTTGAATAAATTATCCAAGATAAGGCTCCCACCCCTCCTCTCTCTCTTGAGAGAATGAGAGAGAGAGAGAGAGAGTGAGTGTGTGTGTGTGTGAGAAAGGTCGAAGGCAATTGTGAAAGGAGAAGGAGCGGCAGATCCGGATCGTGTCTTCAAATGAAAAAGCTCTAAATTTATGTAGAGTACAACAATATTGGACCCATCTCAGTGTGTTTTGAAGAATATACGAGTGTTTTCTTGTTTTCTTTGCATATTGCAAGCAACGGAGACCAGAGATGAGTAGTAGTAATATGTATGTACTCTATGTATATATACACACAATCTTTCATCTCTCTCTCTCTCTCTCTCTCTCTCAGACACACTCTCTCTCTGGAGAGAGAAAATCAAGAAACATTAAGACAAAACTAGATTCATGGATGGACCTACTCGGATTTGAGCCTCTCATTAAGCAAATACATCCTTCTTTTCTATATGTTAAGCTTTACAAGACTATAGAAATAGATAGAAAGGAATGTACGTAAATTTGCGACAACAACCCATCATTATGAAGATCGAAATACGATCATTTTATACAGAACTGAAATACATAGGATCCTCTTTTTGACTTTTCTCGTTTTCTTTTACTCTCTTTCACATATGCATTTTGTTTCGGCTTTCTAAGTGATGCAAATTGTTTAAGATCGTCAAAACACGAGTTTAAATTTAGTGACACATGGATAAAAGAAAGACCTACATAAGTTCTACAAATCAAGTCCAACCCAAGTTTCAATTGATTGAATTCAAGTAATTATTGAAAGTTTAGATAGTCCTGTTTTAACCTTTCTTTGGTTAATTGGACCATTTGATACAAAACAAACTAGTACATAAATTTCAGCGTTGGATCGAGCACCAGATTATGAGATGTTTCCTACCCAGTTTTCAGCGTTGGATCGAGCACCAGATCATGAGATGTTTCCTACCCAGTTTTCCTTTAAGTTGATTATGCTTCCTTCTGGTTTAGTTATGGGATCCAAGGGATTTGATTAACTTTGCATTATATTAATTTGACTTCTGTTTCTCCTCTTTGGCTGAATTGTTAGGTTGATTCCATTTTCTTTGTTTTGCTTTTATGCATGTACCTTCAACGTTTTATATGATTTCTTTCTATTAATGGACAGATAATGTGTCGTACCCCTTCCTAAAGAGAGGGAGGTTACACACCATAACTTCAACATTAAAACTTCATCGATCATAAAAGACTAACTTCTGCAAATTGGGTGGTAAAATGATGCCATTTTTTGGAGCGCACCCTCGATATCCATTATAACATCTTCATTTTCACCATGAGTTGTGTTACATCATTCTCATTAAATAACATAAAATGGTCCAAATCATAATGGCTAATAAATCATGTTACAAACGGAAGTCTTAAAAAATCTAAATACAATTAAGAGCCCTACATTAACGTGTCTCATACCGGGTTACATTACAAGATGAGTTCAAACATAAAATTTAAACATCCCAAAATCTAACAGTAATATAATTCTCTAAGCGAGACCCTTGCCATTTGACTGGTGCTGAGTCCACCAAATAATAAGTTCCAACTATCGGCTAATTACAACATAGATTGTAATAGCGGTAAGTCGAATGGAATCTACAGAAGCTCGGTTCAACTTATTATAACCAAACAATTCAAGTACAAGAAAGAATACTTAAAAATAAAATATGAGGGGGGAGGGGGTTGGATTCGATTAACTAAAGTAAGCATACAACAAAACTAGTTTAAAACGATGAATTAAAAACCCAACTTTAGTTCGATTTGAGTTGAGAAGCTATTATCCATCATTGATTCTAATAGTCTAAAAATGAATAAACCCAAGTTGATTATGGCCGTTAACAAGCTCCAACAGCCTATATTTTTTCTTAAATTTACACAGTAAGCTCTCCAACCGGATTTTAATCACAAATAAGAACTTGATTAAGATCTCAAATTCTTAGGTGGGCTAAGCTTTTCGAACTAGAAAAACACCAACTAAAAGCCATAAGCTCGTAAGCTCGACTTATATCAAGGCTCTGAATGCAAGATTTCAAGAAATCAATTTGGAAACCTAATTGAGACCGAATGAAATCAACCTTTACTTTATCAAAGTTTGAAGACGATTACGTATCTAGGTTTTGACTAATAAGTCTCCCTAAGAAATTCAATTAATTCATCACACTAATTGAACATTCAAATGAAAATGACATTAAAATTGAAAATCAAGTAAATAAGCTTGTTTGAACCGATTACAGTGAAATTTTAAAGTAATAAAACATCAAAATCGAAGTTAACTAATGTAGGAATGAAAGGGTTTAGCTACGCATGGCTAAATCTATCTTGCAATTACAAAATCTGAAAGTTTACCAAAAGACAAGTAGAAATCGATGGAAGTTCTTGCCTCCGAAAATCGTACCGTCCTTCATGCAATTTCTAGAAAACGACCCCCTTCAAAACAGTTAGAATCGAGATTTTATACTATTTCCTAAAAGAAGCCATTGCACTTTCAAAGAAGCACAGGTCTGGTCCCTAAAATTCTTCATCAACAACCCTATGTACGAGTTTAGTCGCAACCTAAGCCACCCGTATCATGCAAATCAATACCAGTAGGTAGGGGAGTTCTTCGATGGCTTAAACCTCAAGAAGAGCCACAAGAGGCTCTGGATTGCATCAAAACACTGACTCCAGCAAGATTAGATGCGGCTACAACCGCATGATGAGCCGCCCGTATCTGACCCACGACGCAAGCTGGATTTGTATTTCATGGACCTTGCTATTTAAAGCAATGATGGCCTCAGTGTTGGTGCATACATCAACTTGCACCGCCGACAACAACTCCTTCACCTCATTAACCTCAGCTTTGACAATAGAGAGGCCTGAGGTGAGGTCTTCCTTGATAGGCATGTCTTGGTGGACCTTGTCCATTTTGTCCAAGACAGTTGTTACGTCTGGGAATAAGAGTTTGACATCTTCAGCCATATCATAGTCAGTCTCCATGGCTGAAGATTCTGCAGCAAAAGGACCTGAAAAAGAAGATAATTGAGCATAAGGAAGCTCTTGGTTGGAAGAAATGAAAGGGTATGAAGATGGTAGAGTACCTGAAGGGTCTTCAGCATCCTCTGAAGGATTGACACTAGTTCTTTCAAGGTTGCCTTCGAGAGGATAGGCTTCCTGTGACTAAGGCACCTTGAGAGGAGCCACATTAGGTTTTGTAGTGATTGTTTTATCACCAATGAGGACAATCATTGATGAATCACCAACATGCCTTGAGACTATAGGAGGAGGGGAGGAGAGAATGGCTGAGAAAGGTGGGGGTGGGAGTTTAGTAGTGGCGATGCTAATATTCACACCTTCAGTGATTTGAGTCACTGAGGCGGTTGGGAGAGGAGCCACGTATACAATAGTGTCAGAGGAGATCATTGAAGAGCTAGATGGGGTAGAAGAAAGTGTGACTTGGGGATAAGGCTTGTTTCAATGATTGAAACATGTTGGGAGGTAACAGACAGGGACTTGGTTAACCCCTTTTTGGCTTTCTTGTCCCGCAATGAATGACCAAGAGTGGCTTGAAAGGAGATCCTCTTAGAGGATATGGTGGTGGTGGTAGGGATATATGGAGGGGGGTTTGCCTCAATTCTAACCACCTTTGGAAGAGAAGAGGAAGGGGTAGAGGACATACCTGTGCCATTAGCGATGGCAAACATTTGTTCAAATATACCAATATCTATAGGTTTAGACTTGTGGTACAAGATTCTAGACCCAAGCCTGTAAATAGGCATTTTGCTTTCTTTGGGGTATTTATTGCCAAAGATTTTAGCAAATACCATGCACCGGAACCTAGTGTAAGGCACCATCTTTTCTCGTTGGCGATTGTTAATCTTTAGCGTCAGGTCTTCGAAGCATATGTTGCTTCATCTTTTTACACTACACAAAATTTTCAATTTATTTGTTATTTTGCCGTAACATTCATAGATATACTTTTTATAAGATATCGATGATTGAATGGAAGTCCTWGTGAGATGAACCTTAAAGAGTCTCATATATGAAGTACATTCGTTGTACTGAATATATTTGTTATATTCACAGGCCAATCTTTTTATAAGATTGTTAACAAATTCATATGTTGAATTTGGTTATTTTATTTGCCCATCTTCATAATCTGAAAAGATTATACAAGTGGATTTGAAAAGATCTACTTACAATTTTATGAATTGACAAAGCATATGTTAATGATCCATTCATTCTGATGTATGATGCAAATGTTTCTCATTTCATCATAAGGGGCAATATTATGTAATGAATGAAATATTCAATTCTGAAGATCGGGAATCGGCAAGACTCATGGAGTGTGAATAAAGATGACTGATGACTGAAGATTATTCTGTGCAACAATATTTGAGGGGGAGTTGAGTGTGAAGATCTCATTTTAACAAGAGTTTACTGAAAGAGATTTCTCAATGGGGAGAATGTTAATGAATGTTATATGAAGAAGTTCTTTGAAGAATATATCTTGAAGATTATTTATGAAGACTGTTGTTGTTACAGTTCTTTATTGTGAAAAGAAGAGATTTTTTTTGTTATACATTCGAGGGGGAGAATATTTGAAAGTTTATCTCAAGAGAAGATCATTTGCATATCATAAAGAGGAGAATGTTAGAAGTTTAACTTGAAAATTTTAAGAAGTCATAAAGTGCTTAAAGCGTCAAAGTTTCAAAAGCGATTCAAAGTGTACAAATTCTTTCAAGCCTGAATCCAAAGGGGGAGAATGTTAGGATTAAATTTTAGAGTATTATTGTATCCGTCTTGAAATATTTATTTTGTATTTGTAGAGCGTTTGACTTTGTAAGTCATGTGTTGAATTTGACTCTTGTGTTTTAGTTTGACCTATAAATAGGTCTTGTAAGGGATTTTAGAGTTAAGAGCTTAATTGTTGTATTACATATAATTGAGAGAAAT